CCCGTACATACATTCGTTCCTGGGCGCTCCCACCGACGTCAAATTCGAATTTCGGTTTCGGGGGCCTCTCCCGGCCATCCCCGGACGGCCCCGCAAAGCCCCAAGGCGGCCCAAGACCGCTCCATAACGGCTCATGAGCGCTCAAAGAGGCCTCAAGGTGGCTTCAAGACGGACCAAGATGCTCTCAAGACGCCCCAAGAGGCCCCCAAGAAGACCCCCAAGAGGTCAAAATCGCCCCATTCCCTGAAGAAAACGCATATGTTTAGAATATCCGCTTCTTTGGCCTTCACCGCGTCCAAGAAGGCCCAAGAGGCCCCGAAGATCGCCCCAGAACGGCCCAAGAAGTCCCCAAGGGACCCAAGACAGCCCCAAATAGCAACAAAAGGCTTCCCAAATAGCCCCATGAAGGCCGCAGGAGCCCCCCAAGAAGAACCAAGGGGGCCCCAAGACGGCCCAACCCCCCCAGGACGGCCCAAGAGGGTCCCAGGACGGCCCAGGAGGGCCGCCAGACAGCCCAGCAGAGCCTCAAAAGGAGCCCCACGAGAGCCCCGAGAGGCCATACCCCTATCAGCCATATAAGGCCTGTCGGCCCCACAAGCCCTACGACCACTATGGTGCCTCATGGTGTCCCATGAGCCCTGCGAGGCCTGGGAACCCTAATACCTCCAGAGCTCTCACCTCCACACGCCGCGACACCCCGAAGGGCCCCCAAAACTCATAATCCAGATCACGGGTGTGCCACCATGGACGGTGCGGCGGCATGCACACGTTGGCTATTCACCGTCGGTGGAGCGGTGAGGCGGCATGCACACGTTGGCTCTTCACCGTTGGTGGAGCTCCCTGTGGGGTGCGGTCCATGTGAGGGGACATTCGGCACACATGTGGTGACGTAGCGTTCTACGGATCCTCCCAGGAAGACGGATCACCAGGGCCCCATGAGGACCACGAGACGGCCGAAAGTGCCCCACTGCGAATCCTCCACTCAGAGCCGCAGGTGAAGCCCGCTCTCCCGGGACAGAGGCACGCAAGGAGAAGAGAAGGAGCAAGGAGGTCGAAGGAGGGAGGAGGAGGGAAACAGGAAGAGGCTGGACGAGAAGGAGGAACGTAGTCCTCGTAGGGCTCATGGGGCCGATTGGGGTGAAAAGGCAAGTCGGGGCCACGAAGCTCATAAGGCCCATAGGCCGTATCCGGCTCATTGGGCTCGTAGGGCTCAGAGGGGGGTATTATGGGTCTCGCAAGGCTTCACGGCTCCGAGTGCTGAGGGCTCATAGGACACATAGGCCTCATCGGGGTCATCGCGCTCATATGGTGTTATAGAGGGTCGGGGGGGTATGGGGCTCGGCTCATTGAGTTCATGGGGCTCCTGGTGCTCGTGAGCTCATAAAGCTCACGGGGCTTCTAGTGTTCGTAGGCCTCAAGGGGCTCATCAGGCTCATGGGGCTCATGGAGCTCGGAGAGCTCATGGGCTCGTGGGGCTCTTAAGGCTCATTGGGCTCCTAGGGCTTATTGGAGTAATAGGGTTCGTGGGGGTCATAGGGCTCATGGGGCCCATAGGGCTCACAAAGCTCATAGGGCTCATAGGGCTCATACGGCTCATGCGGCTCATGGGTTCGTAGGGCTTAAAGGGCATATTGGGCTCATAGGCCCCATAGAGCCCATAGGGCTCATAACGCTCATACGGCTCATAGGGCTCATAGGCCTCATAGGGCCCATGGGGCCCATAGGGCTCATAGGGCTCATAGAACTCATATGGCTCGTAAGGCTCATACGGCTCATAGGGCTCATAGGGCTCATAGGGCTCATAGGGCTCATAGGTCTCATAGGGCTCATTGGGCTCATAGGGCTCATAGGGCTCGTATGGCTCATAGGGCTCATGGGCTCATGGTGGTTACCGGGATCATAGGGCTCATAGGGCTCTTAGGGCTCACAGGGTTCATGGAGCTCATAAAGCACACAGGGCTCATAGGGCTCTTAGGGCTCATAGGGGTCATAGGGCTCATAGGGCTTCTACGCGCTCTGTTAACGCTATGGGCCCTATGGCCCCCAGGAGCATTGCCAGCTCCATGTGCCCAATGGCCCCCAAGAGCTGATGACTCCAAGGAGCCCCAGAACCCTTATAGGCACCATGAGCCTCCTATGACCCCCATGACCTCTGTGAAAGCCACTCAGCATTATGAGCCCCGTGCCCGATGTGCACAAACAGTCCCAGGACCCCAACGAACCCCACGTGCCCTGTGAACCCTGTGAGTCTCATGACCCCCTGGAGCCGCACCGGCAGCATCACCCCTCGCCTAAAATGGAAGCTGCGAGCCCCTGGGCCCCATGATGGCAGAGACCCCTTCTGAGCTTTCTGAGCCGCAATATTCCCTGGGTCCTATCAGCCCTGTTTGCTCCAGGGTCCCCATGGCCAGACCACACCGCGGCTGTGACGACAACCGATCTCATCGTGCCTCCCCGGCGCCATGCGACCAAGATTTTTAAGGCGAAGCGCAGCGAGCCGGTAATATCTTGTATCTATACATATGTGTGTACCTCCCTCTCTCTCGCTTCCCCTGATTCTCTCCATGTCTGCCCATCTCCCTACGAATTTATGATACATGTGTGCATGTGTACATTGCCCTGCTTTCTGTCGACAGTACTGCTTGCCCGCGCGAGGCCAAAAAAGGGGAGCACTGGATGTGCAAGTCATGTGGTGCAACACAGGTCCTGTAACGTATGGAGTGTCAGCTGTGTGGCGCAAGCTATGTGGCGCAAGATATGTAGTAAAAGATATGCGGTCAAAGCTATGTGGTGCAAGCTGTGTGGTGAAAGCCGTGTGGTTCAAGCTCTGCGATGCAAGCTGTCGGAGCACCAGCCAGTGCACGAGACGCTCGCGGAGCAGCAGCGGCGGCTCGTATCTGGCACTGAAAACACAGCGTGATATCGCTATCGGATCTTAGCAGGAAGAAGCACAGCATGGCGTCTTCCAGCGCGTCTATCGCATAACTATAAAGGGTTGTACATAAAGCTGCCACCGTGGACGCGAACAGTCAGTTCTTGCACGGCGGATGTGTGCAAGCAACGAGGTGCTCATTACGTTGTGCAGGCTAACGGTGCAACGTATGCGGTGCAAGCTATGTGGTGCAGGCTATGCGATCAAGCTGCGTGGTCCAAGATATGTGGTGTAAGCTGTGTCGTGCAGGTGTAAGGTAAGCGAGGCGGCAAAAGTTACGTGGTGTTGGCTATGTGGCGTGAGCTATGCGGTGGAGCCTACGTGGTGCCAACTGTGTGGTGCAAGCTGTGCTGCGTAAGCCACCAGTCTGCCGCAAGCCCTGCGGCACAGGCTGCACCGTGAAGGCCATGCGGTGCAAAAGCTGAGCGGCCGGCCAGCGCACGAGGCGCACACGAGCCGCCCAAACGGCGGCCACGAGGCCAACCCACGACGCGCCCACGAGGCGCCCACGGCGCGCCCACCCGGCGCACGAGGCGCCCACGAGGCGCCCACGACGCGCCCGCGAGGCGAACCCTCGGCCGACCCGCCCAGCGCACGAGGCGCCCCGCGGCGCGCCCACGACGAGGCGCCCACGCCGAGGCGCCCCACGAGGCGCCCCACGAGGCGGGCACCGGGCGAGGCCTCGGCGGCCCGACCCCGGGGCGCGAGGCGCCCACGGGCGGGCCCCCGGGGGCCCACGGGCAGGCACGAGGCGAAGCCCTGGCAGACCCGTCCAGTTGTTGAGGTCCGCCCCGACACCTTAGGAGGGCACCAACTATACATCAACACCGATCCTGGCCCAGGATCACCCGGGGCCCAGGATCGGTGTATACGCCCTCCTGCCTTGCGCAAGAAGGCACATACACCGATCCTGGGCCCAGGGTGATCCTGGGCCAGGATCGGTGTGGGTGTATAGTTGGTGCCCTCCGACACCTGCTTCTCACTTCTACTTTCTGCGTTGCGCGCGGCACTGCCCATGTCTGAGAGCTCGCGCATGGCACGACTGTACGACTCAGGGCAAATAAATTCCGCTCAGGCTGACCGGCCCGATCACGCCCCTTCATCCGCGTGCCGGCACGTGCACCACGTCCACGAGGTTCGAGATACATGCGTTGCTTCGGAGAACATGTTTCTGGCGCGCCCCCAGCTGCTTAGCACTGCATGGCACAGCCGACAGTAGCATTAGCACTGCACGGCGTAGCATACCGAATCCTACTTAGCACAGCGTGGCGCATCACAGCATAACCTTGGCTTTGTGTGAGAGGCCAGGAGCCACACGACCACAAACCCATGCGAAAAAATGCAACACGCGAAAAATCCCGACCAAAGCTCCAGCCCCATCTTCCTGATGTATTTTTTGAGTCAGACCCTGGGCTCGAAAAAGGGCGAAAACGCCCAGCGTAAACAAAGTGCAGCGCCCAGATCTCAGGGGAGGAGGGCCGAGAACGCCCAAGAGGGCCGAGAACGCCCTAGATCTCAGGGGAAGAGGGCCGAGGCAGATCGGCGAACGGCCAATCGGTCGGTGACGTCCGGCAGTGACGAAGACGCGCGGCGGCGACACCGACGGCGACGACGACGCCGACGACGCCGCCAAACCGACGACGACGACGACGCAGACGCAGACGCCGACGCCGACGTCGGCGCCGACGCCAGCACCGACGCCGACGCCGACGATGGCGACGACGGCGACGACGGCGACGGCGACGGCGACGGCGACGGCGACAGCGACGGCGACGGCGACGGCGATGGCGACGACGACGACTACGACGACGGCGACGACGACGACAAACGGCAGCGGCGGCGGCGGCAGCGACGGCGACGACGACGACGACGACGACGACGACGCCGACGCCGACGTCGGCGCCGACGCCAGCACCGACGCCGACGCCGACGATGGCGACGACGGCGCCGACGCCAGCACCGACGCCGACGCCGACGACGACGACGCCGCCGCCGACGGCGACGACGACGACGACGCCGACGGCGACGACGACGACGACGGCGACGGCGCGGCGGCGGCGGCGGCGGCCTCAGACGACGCCCGCGCCTCAGTCGAGCGACGGCGCAGCGGCCCGCTGCTCGCCACCGCGCCGCCGCTCGACTCGCACCTCCGCGCGCCCGAAGCGGGGGGGGGGGGGCACCGCGAGGCTTCGAGGCGTCGGGGCTTGGGGAGGGTGCGAGAGGGGGAGGAGGGAGGGAGGGGGGAGGGAGGTGGGAGGGGGGGGGGGGGGAGGGAGGGAGGAGGGGGCGGGAGGGAGGGGGAGGAGGGAGGGGGGAGGAGAGAGGAGGAAACAGGGAGGGAGGGAGGGGGAGGGAGGGAGGTGGGCGCCGACTCGAACGCCGTCTGCTGGTTCAGGCGGCGACTGGTTTGTGAGAGACGAGGCGGGGCCTCGGGGGCCGAGAGGCAGCAGACTTTGGCAGCAGTCAGCTTCACAAACCCGCATCAAGCGCCAAAAGTAGCTCCAGTGGACGGGCGCAGGCCGCGACGAGCCTTCTTCAACTCCCTCAGCTGCTTATCCCTGGTGGACGGTGCCGCAGAAGCCCCCAGGCAGGAGACCAACAGGGCCCGCGGGACCCCGTGGGGCAGAATGTGAGAGGCGGAGCAAGCCGCACAGGCGAGAACTTTGCCGATCTGGGACGCCGTCTGTCCACGATCGGCAAACTCTTGCAGGGCGTCGTTCCCCGAGCCCGCGGGCGGATCATGGGGCGGCGGAGGAGGGAGGGAGGCGAAAGGTGACATCCGCAGCAGCATGGGCCACCCAGACCGCTTCGGCCTGCAGCAGTGCGTGCGGCCCTGCACCTTCCCTTCCCACCACTCCTGATGGGAGGGAGCGTTGGCCGGTCCTGCGATGCAGGGAAGGGGTCGCAACCCAACGCATGATTGCAAAGTCCAGATTCGCTGCCATCCTTGAATGTCCTCGTTGACAAGCGTGCATGGCTGCACCCCGCCCCCCAGCTTGACCCGCGAAACATTCTGGTCGGGGGGCTGCACATGCGATGCTCCGCGGGCATCGGAAGCTCCACGGGAGAAAGCCTGCTTGGCCCACGTTGTCCAAGCTTGTCGTGCTACCTTCTGGTCCTCTCTGGCGCGTTTGCCAGCCAGCCTCCTTCAGCGTCGCCTTGGGCGCCGACCCGAAAGCGGGCGTCGCGAGCACCTCCAAGCCGATGCGAATGAAGGACTCCGACTGAGACGGTAGTCTTTGTAGCACCGTCCCGCTGCGCAACTCACTGGCCAAAAACAGCAGAACCTCGCGCTACTCTGGGGCGAGCCCACTGATGGAGCGCGACGCCTGCGGCATGGATACCAGGTCGCGAAAACGCCATCGCTCACGTCGCAGGTGCAAAACCCATCTGGCAGCCGCACGCCATGCATGCGTCTGTGGCCGCCTGGCAGTTCGCTTGCACGGCGGCTGCCATCGCGCCTGCCGCCGTGCAAGTCGAAGCGGGCCCGCCCGACTGCAGTGCGCAAGGTCTAGGCCCCAATGTCGGATCGATTCGCGAGCCCCCTCTCAAACCTTGACAGGGAGTGATCCTGGGCAACACCAAGGTCTTGCACACTATACATGTGCGCCCTGGACCTGCTCGGCGCTCCACTCTAGCGGGCACCTCGCACATGCCACTGGCGCTCCTCTGGGCAACGCCTTGGGCAGGGCAGGGAGAAGTTGCCATGCTGGCACGTCCTGCGGCTGCATCCTCGCCGCCGTGGGCGAGCGCGGGCATAAGTCGGCCCGCTCATTCACCTTGATACGCCGCGCCAAACGTGCCGATCAGCTGGGGGATGCCACGAAGAGAATTCGATAATGGCGATAGCCGCGGAAACATGGCAAGTGGGCGCAGCTGGCGCGGAGGCGACCGCTCTGGCAGACTGCGCCCAACGGTGTGACATCACCGCTGCGGGCGGGCTATTCCAATCGAAACCCTCGAGCCAGTCGTGCCCCGTCGCGTTCAATCGACACAGGGCTTCACCATGCGGCAGAGGCGCGCGGCTTTCACGCGGCCCACTTCCGCCCTGATCGCTCAGGCGCAAGTCGCTGGCGACAAACGCGCCTGGCCTTCCCAATTGAATTCGTGCAAACAGGGAGTCTCCAGCTGTGACAATGCCATCATGACGTCTGCGCAGACCAGTCCGGCAACGCCTGTGGGCAATATTTTCTAAAACTCATCGCAGGGCATAGCGGGGGCCCAGCGGCCATGCCATCCAAGACCCCCCGCCCGACCCCGGGATGGATATACTCGCTCCGCCACTAGGCGGCGCTCCTGGACCAGCGCCACTATGGCCGACGCGATGGAAAGATAGTCGATCAGGCAGCCGTGGGATTCAACGTTCACGATGACGATCTCCACCATTTCCCGTTCTGGAACTTCAGCGCGAGCCAAGTCTGGCCCCGGCCACCGCGGAGGACACGGCCAAATGCCGGCCCAAGTCCTGTCGGGCCGCGTCGGGGCCGCATCGCCCATCTCGCCTGTCCTCTCGACGCGCTGGATAGCTCACGCCTGCGCCGTTAGCTCGCTGCGACTATGACCCTACGGAGTCGCCCCCAGCGCGCGCCAGGGAGGGTCGGCCGGGCCGCAAACCTGAAGCCCACCTCGCTATCATTATCGCGCCCACCCTGGAGCAGCATCTGCGCCAGGCCAGCCAAACCATGCGCGCCGCCTGGCTCTCTATACATCATCTGTCTCTGCATCGCCCTGTTCCCCAGCTGGGCCTCGGGATCTGCTGGGCCCGCTGCCGGACCGGCCAGACCACGAGCACCGCCTGGCAGTCCTTGCGCCCGCGCCGCCCCCGCGGCACCCATGGGCAATTACAAACAAGGGTCGCCCGCGACTTTCTGTCCCAGCAGCCCCCGAAATCGCCGCCGAGCAGGTCGCCGCCGCCGCCCTCAAGCCAGCCAGGGCATCACCTCCAGCAGCACCGTTGGAAATTGGCCATCCCACCGCCGACGCTGCGCGCTCCGCGCCGACGAGTCAGCGTGAGCGCGTCGGGAGTAGCTCTGCCCTGTCAGAACCCACTTGGCACCCAGGCCGCCGACCCCGAAGTAGATGTCCCGCCCGACGTCGCAAATGATCCCGTTCTGCACGTGGCCGCAAGTGTCGGCGCCGCGCTTCCCGCAGCCGACATGGGCTGCCCGACGCCAGCCTCAGCGCCGCCAAGCAGGAGCTGTCGCGGTGCCGAACAGTACGCCGAAACCTGGCCCTCCGGCAATGTAACGACGACCACGATGGTGAGCTCAAGCGGCCCGGGCCTTTCTCTTGGCCTGCCATCGTCGGAAAGACCTTGCACGAGTTTGCAAGTCGCTTGGCCTTCTGGCGCATCTCACTCGCATCACGAAAAACATATTCGCGATCGAACCACCTGCCAGGACTCCTTGGCACCATCGAGACCAGCGTCGTCCATATCCAGATCTGGGACTGCTCGCCCCGCTGCCTCAACGCTGAGCATTGGGCGCGATGCACCAGGGGGCCGCATGGTCTCGGCACCTCCTGGGCCGCCGCTCGCGCCGCGTGCTCCTTCTGCGCCCTGCGTACCTCGTCGAGGACATGGACCACCTGCCGCAGGCATAGCTCGGCTAGCTCCGAACCCGCACCCAACTGTGCCAGCACGCTCTGCAGCTGCCCGGGGCTGGACTGGAACGCTTCCAGCACCGCGTCCGACAAATGTGTTGGCTCTGGTGGTGCTCGGCTCTGTATCAGCTCCGGCTGCTCCAGCTCCAACTCCAGCTTGGCCGCCTCCTTCGCCTGGGTCTGTTCCCGCAGTTCCGCGACGTGAGACATCTCAACCTCGATCGCCTTCTGCTCGGCCTCGACAACAGACCGGAACCGTGTTCGATCGACTCCTCTACTGCCGTGATCCTGCTGGCGAGACCGTGCTGCTTGGACGATCTGGTGGCGGCTTCGATGCCCGGACGGACCCCTTCACGCATAATCTTCGCCCGTGCAGCACGCTCCTGGCACCCTGGGTCCGCGGCGACCTCCTGCTCCCAGGTCTTGGCAAGAGCGAGAGCGACTGTCTGCACGAGCTCGGCCACCTCCGACCCTACCTCTTCACATAGTTTGCGGCCTTGCTCGGATCGACAGGCTTGGGGCCTTCGCGATCGTGCACGGGCACGGCCTGATCGTCCTTGCGCAGCCTTGCCTCCAGGGAACGAATGCGTTTCCGCATCTGTTCCAGCTCCGCATCCGGTTCCTTGTCGTTGGTGCCCGCTGCGCCACCAGACTTGAGAGAGGAACTAAGTGCAGGAGGAGCAACATTACACAGGAATGCACGGCCTTCACCACAAATGCATTGATGGCAAGACGTAGCGTCCGCCCTGGGCCACCGTGGTGTCCTTGTGTTCTCATTGACAAAGTTCTTAAAGTGCTGGCGCTGCTAGGATCCCATGCCACTGCCTCCTGTATAAAGAGTTGCGGCCGTGCCGCGCGGAGAATCCAATTTGCTCGTGCCCACGAGCCGCTTCGAAGTACGTGGGCACAAAAACGAGCTATTCACTCAATCTAACTCGGGCCGAAACGGCTAGGAGGGAGGAAGGAGGAGGGAGGAGGGAGGAGGGAGGAAGGAAGAAGAGGAAGGAGACACCAGCCGCGCGACTTACGAGCGCTCACGCAAGAACGAGAAAAGAGGACGGAGGGGGGACGAGGGGAGAGAAGGGAGTATCGAGGTGCGCCCACGAAGATCGAGGATCCAGGTGGTTGCCGTCACTGTCTTCACCGTCTTCCCCTTCACCCTGATCTCTGGCCAGTTGTGGTGGCACCGTGGAGTCCCCTCCCCGTCAGCTGGGAAGCTGACAGTTTCCACCATCACCCACGGGTCAACGTCCCCTCTTGGGCGTTAGATCACACCTGAGAGGATTGACGTTCGACCTTGGAGGTTCGAGGATGAAGGTTCCTGAGCGTCCTTGCCACCCCCCGTTGGGCCTCGGGGAGGCTCGGGGGGCCTCGGTGAGCTTTTCGGCCTCCCTTCGGGCGTTGGATCACGCCTGCGAGCCAACAGCATGTTCTCAGCACAAAAACAATGAAAATACTGAGAGGCATCCCGCATGGGGTCCGAGCAGATGGAGTTAAAGGATTGCGCCACATCGCCAGTGAATCGGCGAAGCATCGGCGCCGTCGGCGATGCATCGGCGCCGTCGGCGTGGAGAAAGTCGGGCTCCACATGGAGCCACATCGCCGACGCATCGGCGATGCGGCGCGACCCTCCGACCCCATCGTCTCGGACATCCTTATAACATATTACCTGTGCTCTTGTTAGACCAAGGCTGCCTCAGCCAGACACGCTCTGGCAACATGTCGCGCCAACCGCAACAGGCGGTTAGAACACTACCTGGTCGGCCTGTGGGCAAGACAAGAGGCTTTGCCACTGCTTGACTCAGGCCTGCCAGGAGGAGAGGCCGGGTGCGGGCAGCGCGCCCTCCCCCCCCTCGGGCGCCGCTTCGCGGCCACCCGCAGGAATTCCTGCGCGCGCAGCCGCGATGGCCGCCGCCCGGGCGAGCGAGGCAATGACGATGATGATGACGATGACGCTATCGTGATCATCATGATCATCATCATCACCATCATCACCACCACCACCATCACCATCACCACCACCATCACCACCATCATCATCATCATCATCATCATCATCATCATCATCATCATCATCATCATCATCAACATAATCATCATCACCAGTAGCATCAGCAGTAGCACCCTCTTTATGAGCATCATCATGATTATCATCAGCACCATCATCATCATCATCATCATCATCATAATCTTCATCATCATCAACATCATCATCAGCATCATCAGCATCAGCAGCATCATCATCGTCGTCGTTGCGAGAATCATCCGCAGCAGCATCATAATTAGCAACATCATCGTATAATCATCATCAGCAACATCGTCATCATCGTCATCGCCATCGGCATCGCCATCGTCATCGTCATTGTGACCATCATCATCATCATCAGCAGCATCAGCATCGGCAGCAGCATCATCCTTATCATCAGCATCATCAGCAGCAGCAGCATGGTCATCATCATCGTCGACTTTGCCGTCGTCAGCATCACAATCATCATCCACAGCAACATCATAATCCCAAGCTATCATCGAGGGTCCGGCTGCTGCCACTCGACGCTCTGCGTCCCGCGCGGCTGCCGCTGGCAAGCCGCTTGCGGTCAGGAAACTCTCGGATGGCGTGTCGCGCCGTCGGCCCCGGCGACACGCAGTGCCTGGCGCCCTCTCCAGAACCGAAAACGGACAATTCACTAATCGACGTGTCAGGGTGTGGGTCCTGTCCACCCCCGAACAACAAGAGCCCAACCATCGCAAATCGACAACAAGTCGAAGGCGGCACTGACAAGAAAACTCGCCGCGATCTGGAGTCTCTCGGCGCAGTCTGGGATGCCTCGGCGCAGTCTCCAGGGGCGTCTTCGGAGTGTCTTGAACGCCTTCCTGGGGCATGTTGGGAGCGTCTCCTGGGGCGTCTTTGGGCCTCTTGGGGGCCTCTTCTTCGGCGCTGGGCAGCTCTGGGGCGGATCCTGGGGGCTCGTCGGGGCCTCTTCGGAGCGTCTCAGGTACCTCGGTGGTGCCTCGTTGGGCATCATGGGGGCCTATCGTAGCCTCTTGGGGCACCTTCGCGCCGCTCGGGGCGCCTCTTGTGGACATTGTCTCTGGCGAGCCTCCGGTGCCCCATGGCTTGGCTCCAGCAGCCGCACCCGAAGCGGCTAGGAACGACAACAAAAGCACCGCCAGCCGCAACGATGAGAGCGCAGCCGAAGGCGAGAGCCGCCGTCCGTTCAAGATGTTCAACATCATATTTCGGAACAGGAGCCTAAGAAGGTCATTCCAAGTCGAGACGATGCTTTGGGTCCTGACTCTGTGGCGGTCGCCTCAGGTATTATTGCTACTTCACTACCGTGCACGAGGAGCCGTTCTTCCTTATAGGCCTGGCGACTTTAAAGGAATTCCTGGAGAGGCACCTCTCATGCGTTGCAAGAGGCCCACGCTGTTTGCGCTGCACCTCTTCAATGGCAGAAGGAGTCAGGAGATTTGCAACTGCAACACCAATTGGAGTTGCAGCTAACTACGTGTTCAGTGGAAGTGTGTATGTTGAGTATCGGCGTTGCCATCGACGCTGTTCAGGGGGGTCTCACTCGAGATGGTTCGATCCTGGTATGGTCTGAGCACGTACGAGCTCGTCGGGGTACCACCACTCGGGGAGGGGGGCCTCGCTGTGAAACCTGCTCTGCCTTTCGGTGGCACGAGGAAGGCCCTCCCCCGCTCAGGACTTCGAGCTTATCTGGGGAGTTCCATGGGCGACGGCCAGACACAGTGTGCAGCTCCGTGCAGGCAGTACCCTTTTGGTCTGCGCCAGTTCCCCTTCTTGCAGAACCTCTTCGGGAAGGGTCTGCTCGCACGGGGTCTGGGGCGTGGGTGGAGCACCCTGCCCCTGCCACCTGGGCCCCCAGGGCCTCCACCGCCTTCCGGTGGGACCCACCTCCCGGCCATTGCCGCTGCCCCGTTTAGCAGGACCACGATGATTGACCGGCGAGGGCACCAGGACCCCCAAGCTGAGCTGCAGGCCCATCCTCATCCTGCCCCCTCACGTCTTCCTCTCCCCCCCTCCCACCATCTGCTCTCCCTCACTGCGTCATCCTTCCTCGTCCCCCATCCCTGTTTCCTCCTTCTTGTCCTCCAACTCCTCCTCTTCGTACAGTCGGGGCGTTGACCTAAGAAACCCTAAATAAGGAACGAGGACCCCTTTTCTCCATAAGTTAAACTTCGATTTGCGATCGAAAACATAAGGAAAACCTGAGGCAAGCTGTGAAACACTTGAGGAACGCGGAGCCCCTCCCCAACGAAAAGGGTTCCTTCTTCAGGACCCCGACTGTACCACATCGCCCCCCTTCTCCTCCTCCGCCTCCTCCGCCTCCTCGCCCCACGCGACTCCATTCTCCCTCGCTCCTCATCGCTCCTCCCTCCGCTCTCCTCCTCCTGCTCCTCCTCCTCCTCCTCCTCCTACTCCTACTCCTGCTCCTTCTCCCCCTCCTCCCTCCTCCCTCCTCCCTCCTCCTGCTTCCCCTCCTGCTCCTCCACCCCCTCCTTCCTCCTCCTCCTCCTCCTCCTTCTCCTCCTTCCTCCTCCTCCTCCTGCTCCTCCACCTCCTCCTCCTTCACCTCCTCCTCCTCCTCCACTCCTTTTCCTTATGAAATACTCCTCTCATTCGCACGCCGAGGCCAGTCGAAAGGGCGGGCTGGGCGTTTCGCCTGAAACTTCCTTAACATGTCTGGGCTTGAAGCTTAAAGACTGGTATCTGTTTCACAGGTGGAGATCGGATCGGTTCCAAAATGCAGCTTTCGAGGGCGGGTCGTTTTCAAAATGTGGCTCTCGCCTTAGCGCCGCGCACATTCGTTTCAAACAGTTGGAAGGGCTTGACTGATCGAGGGCGGGTCGTTTTCTAAATGTGGTCCTCGCCTTAACCCCGCGCACATTCGCCTAAAAAGTTGCAAGAGCTTCACGGATTGAGGACGGGCGGTTTTCAAAATGCGGCTCTCGCCGTAGCGCCGCGCACATTCGTTTCAACAAATGTTAAAAACATGCTCGACCCACGAACCCAGAAAGACATCCAGAAATGTAAGGCATGGCAACGTTTCAAAGACACCTGATTGGGCGACGGGCAAATGTAATGCTGAGCGTATCGATCTTGATGTACCGTGCCGAGGGCTGTGCTATGCTGCGCCGTGCTGAATTGCGATGTGCCATGCCGCGATGGTGCTCGATAGTGTTGCGGATCGAGTTCTCCTTGGCATCCGAGTCCTGACCGAACTGATCTGCAACTTAAGCTCGAGATGCCTAAGCACATAGTAGCTGCCCCAGATCCAATTGACAGGGGAGCATGCCAGGAGGACGCGCCGCGGAACGTCCCAAGGGACGCGCCAGGCGACGTGACAGGGGGCGTGCCACGGGGGCGCACCGCGGGACGTGCCAAAGGGACGCGCTTCGGAACGTGCCAATGGACGTGCCACCTCATGCTTGACATCCGCCTGGGCGAACTGGACACGTGAAAACAAGGAGTTCGCTCGAGACATCCTCAACACATCTTCATGTTAGACGTCCGCTCCAGGCCCTCAGGAAGGCCCCAGGAGACCCATGTTAGATACCCCCTGGGTGGCCTGGACACTCTAAAGCACCTGATCCGCCATGTTATATACCCCCCTCGGGCGGCCTGGACGCGTAAAACCATGTGGTGGAGAATCATGTTCGATACCCCCCTGGGTGACCTAGACACGTAAACACAAGTGGGACCAGCTCTGGGCAACCATATTAGATACCCCCCCGGGCGGCCTGGACGCGTAAAAACACGTGGTTCCCATTCGGGGCAATCATGTTAGATACCCCCCCTGGGTGGCCTGGACACGCTAAAACACGTAACCCTTGCTCGGGACAATCATGTTAGATGCCCCCCTGGGCGGCCTGGACACTTAAAAACACGTGGTTCAAGCTCTGGGCAACCATGTTATATATCGCCCTGAGTGGCCTGGACACGCAAAAACAAATGGTTCCAGCTCGGGGGAACCATTCTAGATATCACCCCGTGGGTGCCCTGGACATACAAGAACACGTGGTTCCAGCTCGGGACAACCATGTTCGATGCCCCCCCTGCGTGGCCTGGAAAAGCTCAATTCGCACTCCCGCCCGAGACATCCTCGCAATGTCTGCCCTGGAGAGGCCCCAGAAGCACCACCCCCTGTCCAGAGCAAGAAGAAATGACTGTTCTGGATTGGGATATGTGTTCGGGTAGCGCTTGTCGCCCCCCGTGCATTTCCTGATAATTCGGCGTCGGGCCCGACGCCATGTTAGATACCCCCCTGGACGGCCTTGACACGTAAAAACACGCAATTCCACTTCGGAACAATCATGTTAGATACCCCCCTGGGTGGCCTGGACACGTAAACACACGTGAGACCAGCTCTCGGCAACCATATTAGATACACTCGTTGGTGGCCCGGACACGTTAAAACACGTAGTCCTTGCTCGGGACAACCATGTAACACACGGTGCCAGCTCCGGGCAACCATGTTAGATACACGCCTGGGTGGCCTGGACACGTTAAACCACGAGGTCCTTGCTCGGGGCAACCATGTTAGATACGCCCCTGGGTGGCCGAAACACGTAAATTTACGTGGTTCCAATTCTGGAAAATCATGTTAGATACCCCCTGGGTGGCCTGGACACGTTAGAACACGCGGTCCTTGCTCGGGACAGTCATGTTAGATACCCCCGTGGGTGGCTTGGACACGTAAAAGCACGTGGTTCCAGCTCGGGGCCTGGACACGTACAAACACGTGGCTCCAGCTCGGGACAACCATGTGTTAGATACCCCCCCGGGTGGGAGCACATGTAAAAACACACGGATCCGTGCCCCTGGAGAGGGCCAATCTATGGGAGCACAAATAAAAACACACGGATTCGTGTCCCTGACCCAAATGTGTCCCGCACCCGACTTCATCGATCGGAATTTCAAAAACCAGCGTTTCACCCGGGACTTCCTCAAAATTTGATTCGCCGGCCTTATGCGACCTCATAATTTGTCGGAAATAAATTCGCCGGCCCGTCGCAATTAAAGAACCGGCCTTTGGTAACATTATCCCAGTGCGACCCTACCTAGGAGTTGGAGCCCCTAGGAAAGCAGCATTGGTAGTAACAGTAAAGCTAAGCTAAAGCTACGCTGAAGCTAAGCTAAAGCTAAGCTAAAGCTAAGCTCAAGCTAAGCTGAAGCTAAGCTGAAGCTAAGCTAAAGCTAAGCTGAAGCTAAGCTAAAGCTAAACTAAAGCTAAGCTAAAGCTAAGCTGAAGCTAAGCTGAAGCTAAGCTGAAGCTAAGCTAAAGCTAAGCTGAAGCTAAGCTCAAGCTAAGCTCAAGCTAAGCTCAAGCTAAGCTAAAGCTAAGCTAAAGCTAAGCTAAAGCTAAGCTAAAGCTAAGCTAAAGCTACGCTAAAGTTAAGCTAAAGCTAAGCTAAAGCTAAGCTAAAGCTAAGCTAAAGCTAAGCTAAAGCTAAACCTAAAGCCAAAGCTAAGCTAAAGCTAAGCTAAAGCTAGGCTAACGCTGAGCTAAAGCTAGGCTAACGCTGAGCTAAAGCTAAGCTAAAGCTAAGCTAAAGCGAAAGCGAAAGCTAAAGCTAAAGCTAAAGCTCCCAGGGGACTGGGGGAACCGCTCCCAGGGGACTGGGGAAACCGCCCGGGGCGTTTTCCACTGCCCGGCCCCTTTAAGCTAGAGAGTAAGAACCCTTCTAGGCAGAGCCTAGGTAGGGAAAAACTAAGAGAGAACCCTGGGCCTACGCCCTTGCCAGGAAAAATACAAGAGCTGCTTCAAAATGTGGCTCTGGCCTTGGCGCCGCGCATACTCGTCTCAGCAATTTGCGAGAGTTTGACTGGTTCGAATAGTTAACGCACGAGAAATGAATTCGGAACGAATCTGGATTGTCAGAGCGCAACAGTTACATTGATTCGCGGTGTTGAAGTCCCAGGAATGGTGCCCTGGCACGATTCACAGTCGCCAAGACGCAGCAGTCAGGTTTACTCGTGGCGTTAAAATCCTGAGAATGGTTTTCTGGCACGCTTCAAGACTCTCACACGGTTGCCCCCCAACGGGGCACGTCCCTCAGTGGAAATGAATCCTTGTAGGGGCCTATGAAGAGGGAACTTGGAGGACGGGTGTATTCCAACATCGTTGATGAGTCTTGGGTTTGCACTGGTCCTTCCCCTTCTCCTCCTCCTCCTCCTCCTCATTTTCCTCCTCCTCCTCCTTGCTTCGCTTCGCACTCCCTCTGATGCCACGTTCGATCCACAGCTGCTCACGGGCACAGGGCAGGCCTCGCTCCAGGGCTCGGCATCATCCGAACTCCAGCCTCGATGCTAGTTACAATGCTAGACAGAACGAGGCCGGAACGCCTAACGGGAGGGGGAAGGGGCCAAGTGGAGCCACCCCCAGCGGAGGAGAGAGGGAGGGGAAGCAGAGGGGGGAGAGAAAAACCAGGCGCAACTCTACGAAAGGCCCCCCCCCGAGGGGCCCCCAGGATCCTGCACGCGGCCCCCGACAACGCCCCCCGGCACAAAGACCGGACCGTTACGCGAACCCTGGGAGCCCCTCGCCCCCCGAATAGGCCCGAGTGGGCCAGGGCTATCAGCTACTTGCCCCCTCCCTTCAGTCGACGCGCTAGATCTCCCCTCGGTGTTTTGCCCAACTTGCGCTGGCCACCCCAGCCACTGATGATGTGGGCGAGCACCAGGTCCACCTCCTGGAGTTTCCCTTTCTCCGCCGGGCCCGTGATGATCTCGAGCGGCGTGCGCTGAAGCTGGTCTTCGTAGCTCTCGTCCGTGGCCACCCCGGCCCACGCGTCCCGCTGAGCCTGCACGAGCTTGGCCGAGGCCTCTTGCCCGGACCCCACCAGGATGTGGCCTTTGATGTTGAAGCTGAGCCTCACGACGTTCTGGTCGAAGCATGGGCTGAACGTAACCTCCTTGATCCATTAGCTCGCGAGCTCTGGATCTGAATGCCGCAGCATGTTCAGCAGCCGGTCCGCGACCCCCCGGTACCTCTTGAGGGATGGCTGGCACGAGTCCTCGCCTAGCCAGCTCTCAATATCGCTCAGACAGGCCCCAAAAAGCTGGCTCTCTGGAGGGCCTCGGTTGTGGGACGACCCCTCCTCCTGGATCTTCGCCAAGTAGTTGGCGTACTGGGTTTTGCCCGTCTCTACGAGCTGGTGGTCCTTCTTCAGGTAGATCTGCGTTATGGTGCAGTGTTCGAGGGTCCTGAGCCTGGCTGGCCTCCATCTGGCACGTGAGCTTCCGAAGGGCTGCATTCTCCGTCTCCTCCGTCTTCGGCTTCTTGTCGCGCGGCTGCTGCGCGCCCCCCTGCGATTTCTCGATGAGCCAAGACATCGCTCTCTGTCTCCAGCTCGAGGCAATGCTCTGCAAGGAATGGCGAAAGGTGCGAATCCAAGATATGCTGCCGTAGCACCTGAGCCTGATCATATACAAAGCCACACAGCCGGCACTCCGAAGTAACAATGCGAAGCTCATTTCCTGACCTCCCCATGTCCGCGCGGCATCTGCGGTGTTTCATCGCTGCCTGCATGTGTTTTTGGGCTTGCTGGTACGTGCTGAACAAGGATTCGCAGATAGTGCATTGGTTTCCTATGCAGCACATCCGAGCTAGTATCTGTCTTCCATGCGTGCCGCCGTGTGCACGTAGTGCGACGCGAGACGAACTTTATCCGGAAAGCGTGCTTGACAGGGCCTCCCATTCTCATCCTCCGCCCAACATTGATAATCACCTCCTTCCTGTTTGTCCCCCCCTTGTGGCTCATATTCGTGACGATGGGTCCAGTAGGGTGCTTTGATGCCCGCGATGTCCAACGCAACAAAATCCTCCCTACCATCAGTCATGACAGAGACAGCTGACGAATACTGTTCGAACAGAACCAAACCGTCGTCGAAACACTGAAGCGCCTTAATGTCGCGCAGCCACTGCTGAGCCCAAGGGTTCCTGCCCTCGACCTCTGCCAGCGCACTGGGAGCACTTCTCGTCGCAGTTCGAATCTCTCCGAAAACAGTGCCGAGCACTTGCTCAGCAAGAGCGGGAGCAGCCAGAAGTTGCTGAAGCCATCTTAGGCGGCGTACCCGAACCTCCACGAAGATGCTCGCAATGCCTACTCTCTGAAGCACTTGCAAATTTGTCTGGGACCGGATGGCCCCCCCCTGGGTGACCCGAGCGACGCCTCGAAGCAGAACCCGAGCTCTCTTGGCCAGGAAGCTTTCGATGCCCCAGAAATCCCGGACCTGCAGCGGCCCCGACTCTTTGGCGAGAGTCTCCGTCCCAGAAAGTGTTGAGTTAAGTACGAAACCTTTGAAGATGTTGCTCCTCCATTTTTGGGACACCTGGGAGGTCCAAAAATTCCCCATTGCAGTCCACGTTTTTCGCCCAGCTTGGATACGATACAACCATTCCACGGACAGCCCAAAACGTGCCGTAACCCTCACCCCTAGATAGCGGGCGACTGGTAAAGCCTTCCCAGAAACAAGAGCGCCCCCGCTGTTCTCCAAGATTCGCTTTTCAGCACGGAAAGTTCCAGGACCACAGCAGAATGGGAGCAACTCTTGCTTGTCGAGATTATGTGCCATATCCATGCTGCTAAGTGCACTGGTTACCCGTGCATTCTGTGCCTCGCCCTGTGCAGTAACGTCGGCCAAACCTGCGAACAAGAACGTGTCCGCCACATCATCCACGAAAGCTGTGAGAGCTGCTTGCACCCCGTCTCCAGACCACGGTGAAATTACCGTCGTGATTCGTGAAGCCTGCGGGGCCAATGATGACAACCTGCGGGTGCAGGCCATCACAAACAAGAAGACCATGACCGGGCGGGTCTCCAGGCATGCACCCCTCCCCCATGACGAGAGCAAATTCTGTCTCGTCGCCTCGAAACGTAAAATGAACGTGGCGAACTCTGTCGATCATTGCAGGACCGTCGCACTCGGCAAGATCACGAATAACCGACTGGACCAGTTCTGTGGTACGAATGGAAAAGAAAGCGTTTGCTGCGTCATGGAATCGCTTAGCGTGCTGCACCCCGAGCTTTTTTAGCCTCCAGGCCGAACACCACTGTACTAGTATCGCTCCCTCCCTCCGGCGCTTTGGAAGGGCCCCGTAGGCCCACCAAGGAGCGCTACAAGACGGGACCCGTTTCAACACACTGCGATAATACATCTTTGCCAGGCTGCACACCATCATCACCACGCGCTCCCCGGGGACCCCTTCCTTGTCATTGCCCTTCCCGATCTGCGCCGCTTCGGCACGCAGCCAAGCTAAGGGGAACCGCTGGGTAGCACGAGTGCCTCTGAGCAGCGCCTGAACATATCTGTAGAAGTGCGGTGAGGACAACTTATCCAGGTCGCTGGTGAAGCCAATCCCCGCGACCTGCTGGACAATCCTGGGATTGACACATTGCGGGAAGAGGCAGCATCTAATGAGTTCTATGGGGGCACTCCAGGGCGGTGAGGCTCTCCACGTCTTGGCCTGCCATGCTGCACGTTTCAACTGTCGTAAGTCCTCGTCCAAAAGCTCCGCTGAAACCTCAATGGGACGAAGTACTTCTCGCCAAGCCTCAATATCCTGTAAGGGCCGACGCACGGCTGAACACCCACCCTGCGGGCCAGGCAAACCCATCTTAGACTCGCCCTGGAACCCGATGACGGTTGAAAACCCGTTTTCTGCGTCCCCGGTGCCGTTGAGCGATCAGCCGGGCTATTTTTTGAATGGTGTATGCGTCCCTTTCCTTTGCAGCCTGCATGAAAGCGTCGCACCGCAAGGTTTCAACTTCCTCCCAATATCTACGCTTCCGTTCACGAAGTCATTTGCTGATCCGTCTGATTTGCAACGTGATCTGCAACAACCTCATCGGCACATCTGCATCCCACGTCACGGTCGCCAGCTGGCCCCGTACCTCGCGTCGCTGGAATAGCAAAGTCTTCACCTCCCGTGCGTGGGCGGTGTGGTTCTCGGTGTAGAGGGGCGAAGACTGGCATACCTCCTCCGCGGCCCTGCGCATCGACTCGTGCAGTGCTGCGTTCGCGAAGCTGGCCACCTGCTCCACTGGGACACTGAGCAGAGCATCGTACTGCTGAGATAGAGACCGCTCGACTCGGCGAACGAATTCGGGACGCTGGTGGCCCTTTTGCAACATCAAGGCCATCGCTTCTTTGTTAATGATGGGCCTGTCTTGTGGCTTGTAGGATTCCGAGATCACCTCTAAATCAAAACATGCTCCGAGAGGTACGTGATCAAAAGGTTTACTCGTATAGCGGACCTGGAACCGCCAACCACTGCTCTGCAACGTCCTGCACCACAGGGTACACTTTCGCCATTCTTGCGGGACGATCACGTAATCAAGAACCTTCGAAGCCGTGTGACCGTGATACGTCGGCCCAGTATGGCAGAAGGAGTTGATTACGCATAGTTCATGGGCGCACAGCAGCGGCAGCAACGACTCCGAAACGAAATTCGACTCGCCATTCCCGTACTCCCCTACCACCTCCTCCTGCTCCTGAAACTGTGCATTGGCGTCTGTGAGGATTATAGGCGACCACCGGGCCGACGTCGAAGCTAGAACTCGGGTGAGCCAACGCACCATGAGCCCTATCATTAGTACGTTGCCAGCGCTCCCTGGGATCACGCCCCCGGCTAGGAAAAGGAGGGAAGTACATCACCACAACCACACACCGCAGACTGCCTCGTGCAAGTTTGATGCCCCCGACGCGCCCCTGAAGACCACGAGGTACCTGCAAAAAACCCTGAATGCAACACCGAGGGACTTTCTTTCTGTGCAGCCAGATCGCTACCCCGCAGCTTTTGTTAGTATGCGGCCCCGGGCTCCATCCCCACTCAACGTTGTAGTGTTGTCCGATCGTCTTATACTGCTCAATGGGGACCCCCGAGGACCTCTGCTGTGTACCTACGAGGCCTATGATATCCATGTTGCCGAGTTCATGGACAATGTCTTGACTGCGCAGTCTGCCGACATCGGGTTGAAGACACATAGCGCCAAGCCACGGCGGGCCACCTGGAGCCCGGACGACGCCGAGCCATTGTCATTGGCACGTGGCTGAACATCGCTCTGCGGTGGCGCGAACGGGGGGCGGCCCCCCCACATTCGATACAGCGTGGCCACCTTCGTCCTCCTCCTCCTCCTCCTCCTCTTCCTCCTCTTCCTCGTTCTGCTTATCCGCCTCCGCCTCGCCTCCCTCCTTGTTCCCACGCGCTCCTGGAGCTTCTTGTCAGGGATCGGCCCGCGAACGCTGCCGTGGTTCTTCCACCTCTCGTCCTTGAGGTGGGTTTTGCAGAACTGGCCGCCCGGGCTGGGACCTGAGGAGCCCGGCCAGGCCGAGGGCGATGGAGCGGGAACCGTGGCTCCAGACCGTGGAGGAGGAGGAGAAGGAGGAGGAGGAGGAGGAGAATGATAAAGAGGAGAAAGAGGAGGAGGAGCAGCAGCAGGAGCAGGAGGAGGGAGGAGGCAGGGACAGACAGGTGGGGCCGGGGGTTCTATTGGAGGGGAGGCGCCAGGGGATTCTGGGGAGATCTGGAGGAGAAGGAAAACCAGAAGAGGAGCATAATAAATGAGGGGGAGGGCGTGACGACGCTGGGGAGGAAGGAAGAAGGAAGAGGACATGGCGGGACCGGAGGAGGACCAGGAGGCAGGAAGGCCGACGATCCTGAGGAGCATAAGGAGGAGGCATCGTGGGGGAAGGCAGGGAGGAGGAGGACGGGGGGAGGAGGAGGAGGAGGAGGAGGAGGAGGAGGAGGGAGGAGGAGGAGGAGGAGGAGGAGGAGGAGGAGAGGAGGAGGAGGGAGGAGGAGGAGGAGGAGGAGGAGGAGGAGGAGGAGGAGGAGGAGGAGGAGGAGGAGGAGGGGGAGGAGGAGGAGGAGGAGGAGGAGGAGCAGAAGGAAAGGGGAAGAAAGGAGGATGGACAGAGCAGAAAAGGAGGAGAGGGGGGAACCAAAAAACTGTTGGGATCGGCGGGGAGGACTGCTGGCATCCGGCGCCCTGTGGTCAGAGTCCCGCCCGCCGCAGAGGGGCGCGTCCCCTCGCCCCGGCGCAGGCCGCCGCCCCCGCCGCAAATGACGAGGCCGCGGCCCACCCCGCACCAGGCACACCCGCGCGGACCGCTCACCGGTAGACCGCCCGCCATGTGCACAGGAGGACGCCAGCTATATGCATCTGCACCCAGGCCTTTCACTAGGCCCAGGATCGGTGTGTACGCCCGCCTGCCTTGGCCAAGAGGGCGGCATGAGCACCGACTCTGGGCCCACGATCGGCCTGGCCAGTACATCGGTGTAGGTTGTAGGTGTGCAGTCGACGCCCTCCAGCTCTGCTAGCGGACGAAGAACGGTATAACAGATGTTCTTCCGACACCGGGGAGGCCTCTCCCAGGGCGGCTGGACAGCTCATACCCCAAGGTGTCGCCGTAGACGCATTGGCTTTGAAGCCGCCTCGGGACAGGCGCCCCCCATGGCGGAGCCGCTGATCCATTCTACCACTCTTCCTCTGCCAAATCTGGCGACCTGTGGTCAGAGCCCCGCCCGCTCGCAACAGACCCGCCCAGCGCGCGCAGCCTCGAGCTGTCTCCGCCGACAGCGCCCACGCGCCGCAGGCCACCCCCGCGACGCAGGAGCGGCCCGCTCCCGCGGGCGTCGCCTCCCTGGGCCCTGGGCGGCGGGGACCATTCGGTCGGCGCCCGCCTGCCGGTCGCAAGCGAGCGGCATCTACATCCCCGTACGCGGCGCGCCCTCGGCGGCCTCCTCACCGCCGGCTCGACCCCTCACCGTCGTCTGAGCGGGCGAGCGCTCTCTGGGACCTCCTGGCGTGCGGCGCGGCGGCGGCACCCGCGCCGCCCAGGACGGCCGGCCCCCCGCCGCCCGCCGCGGCTGCCGGCGCCAGCCCGCCCGCCGCGGCAGCAGCACCCGCGCTGCCCGAGGCCGCCAGAGGCTCCGCAGCGCCCCTGGGCGACTGAGCGCCGGCCGCCAGAGGCTCCTCGGCGCCGCCAGGCGCCTGCGCACCGGCCGCCAGATGCTCCGCGGCGCCCCCAGGCGACTGCGCGCTGGCCGCCGCGGCCGCCCACGTCTTCGACCTCCGCGGGCGCGCGGGGAGCGCCGGCTCCTGGCCGCGCTCCGCCCGCAGCAGCGCCGCCTGCGAGCGCCGCAGCGGCAGGCCGGCCGCCTCCGCCGCGAGCGCGGCCGCGAGCGCGGGCGACCCCGGCTCCGCGCCGCTGGCCGCGGCCGCCGCCGCAGGGGCCCGCAGCAGGGCGCCCCTGCGCGCCCTGGGTAGCCAGGCGCGGACAGCCTCGACGAGGCCCTCGGGGTCTGGCGCCCTACCCCTGAACTCTTGCAGCCCCATGAGGAGATCCTCCTCGTCCTCGAGCTGCAGCAGCCAGGGCTCGAGGTGGTCCAGGACGGCCAGCGACGTGGCGAGCAGGCCGGCCAGGCCCTCGCGCTCGAGCAGCGGCAGGAGCAGCTGCCGCGCCTGGCGCGGCAGCCAGGTCTGGAACAGAGCCAGCCACGCCTGCGGCAGGTACATGTTGTACTCGAAGCCAGCCTGCTCGAAGTGCTGGAACCACGGCCGTCCCGCGGCGAGCTGCTCGAACAGCGCCGCCCCAGCCACCAGCAGCGGGAAGCCGGGCAGCCAGAGGCCGCGGAGGCGCCAGATGTACCCGCTGAACCGCGCGTACGCCTGCTCCTCACAGCGCGAGGAGACTGCGAACAGGGCGGCGACCATACCCATCCCCTGGCAATAGGACAGCTCGGGGTCCTCGGCCGCGCGCTGCACGCACATACTGCGGATCGTGCCGAGGAGGGCCGTCACCTCGTCGTCGCCGCCGGCCGTGCGCGGCATGTCTACGTTGATGGTGTTGAGGGCCGCTGGGCTTATGGCGGCATCGAGGTCGTGCGCGAGGCGCTGGACACAAGAAGACCAGAAGACGACACGACCGTAAGCTCCTGGAGGCCTGCACGGGATTCTTGGGTCGGCGCTGACTCCCCCCTTCCTGGCACGCGGAGCACGCCACGGGCTGGCGCTGGAGGCGCCGCCTAGGGGTACGAGGAGGGGGAACCAGCGCTGACCCAAGAAGTCCGATCGGACTTCCGAAATGCTACGCTGACATATCGCCCCATGACCTCCCGGGACGCACGAGGAGCCGCCCGCCAACCTCTGCGCCAGCCCCGCCGGCGGCTCTGCCAGGCGCAGAGGGCCGCCGGGCGGGGGGCCCGGAGCGCCTCCACCGGCGCACTGGAGCACCCGCCAGCGCACCGAAAGCTCCTCTTCCCAACGCGCCGCGGGGCAGAGCCAGCTGACCGCCTTCAGGCCCTCGCTGTAGTAACACTGCGGTGCGTCTCCTGCAACCTGTCGGGTGTTGCCAGACCCTCGGGTCTGGGCGTTGCGATTTGTTCACACTGGCGTTCTCGCCCAGTTTCGGGACCTGGGACCATCACGGATCGATCTGGCTCGAAGCATGCCGCATAAAGATGGGGTCTAGGGCTCGCGTCGTGATTTTTCGCGAAACTGCCGTTTTTTTGCGACGTCGGATCTCAGGGGAGGTGGCTCTGGCCCAGGGTGGCCCCAGCTTCCCCAGGGAAGCACATACGGTCGGAAATGTTTGCTTCGCATGTCGCGGCGGCGGCCTCGGCGATACGCTATGCCTTGCGAGCGGAGAACGTGTCGCTCCGCTACGCGGAGCGGGAAGCTTCGAAAGGCTCGGGACGCTGACGTTCGGGGGCCAGGATGTGGTTCGCGTGTCGCGCCGAAGCGTGATGGGCCAGAACCAGCGGCGCGACACGCTTAGCCAAAGTTCCTGACCCAGAGGGCCCCAGGGGCTCCCAAACGGCGCGCAACGCTGGGGGCACCTTGGGCCAGGACCACCTCTAGCAGCATCCGAGCCTCGGGCGCGTACCACGCCTCCAGGTATTCCTCCGCCTCCCTGCGCCGGTCTGCCAGGTGCTCCGCCACGGCGGCGGAGTACGCTGCTCCACTGCGGCCCTCCCTGCGCAGCCGCACGATCACGGCGAGGCTGTCCCTGTACACCGCGTCGAGCGGGTGCTGGGCCGAAAATGCCCCCGAGGAGACGCACACGAAGGACGCCACTCCGTCGGCGTCGCGCTGCTCGGACCACCCTTGTGGCACGGGCGCGTGGACGGCCTCTTCGACGACCCACTGCAGGTCGGCGTACTGTGGAACATCGATGCCCAAAGCAGAACAGAATTCCTGCAAGGCCCCCGGCTGTGTGAAGCCTCTCTGGCTCCCGGCCGACCGTTGCGACATTGGGCATCTTGGGCGTCCCTGGCGGCTGTGCTGTCAGAAGCATCACTGCGCATGGCACGTGCACGCTTGCTTGCGGGAGCCTCTTCTTGTGCCAGCATGGCTATGGTCGCCCCTCAACCTCCTCCTCCTCCTCCTCCTCCTCCTCCTCCTCTTCCTCCTCCTCCTCCTCCTCATTATCATGCTCCTCCTCTTTCTGCTGCTCCCTCTGAATCCCCCATCTTCCTCCGCATTCCTTGGGCTACGACTCGGATTCGGGCGCGAACTCCGATTCCAAATTGTCTTCCTCCTCCTCCCCCTCCTCCTCCTCCTCTTCCTCGTCCTCCTCCTGTCTCCTCTTCCCTCTCCTCCTCTTCCTCGTCCTCCTCCTGTCTCCTCCTCCCTCTCTTCCTCTTCCTCGTCCTCCTCCTGTCACCTCCTCCCTCTCCTCCTCCTCCTCCTCCTCCTCCTCCTCCTCCTCCTCCTCCTCCTCCTCCTCCTCCTCCTCCTCCTCCTCCTCCTCCTCCTCCTCCTCCTGCCCCTCGCTCGCTCGCGCGCTCGCTCGTGCTAAAGGCTGCTCGGATACGGATAATTCTCAGGAAAATGGGAGGCAGAGTACAAACAACGGAGGTCACCCACCTTGGGGCAGCCCATTCAGTGTCGTAGCTGTCGTGGCATCGGGGGCCCCATCCAGCACACACACACACACACACACACACACCGCGGACAACATATGAGGAAGGCACACAGGTAAGGGCACATACGGGTCGAACGGCCGCCTAAATTTACCCCATTCTGGAGCACCCCAGCCCTCATCAACATCACTCCATTCACGTCCGAACTCACGAAAACATTGCAAACGAAGGCCTCAGCAATCCAATACATTAACATGTTCGGGAGTTGTTGCTGCTAACACTGCTGCCTCTCCTCCCTCGCCATGTGCACATGCCCTCCTCCACGCCTCCCCCTTCAGACAGCCCATCAAGTTTGCCCTTCAGGGCAGGCAAGTTCTGTGCCAGCAGCATAAAGGAGTCCAACACGATCCCTTCTCCAAACGCGCAGCAGTGCTGTTCCATGGGCTCACGCAACTTCTGTGTTTTCCCAACCCTCCCTTGGTTGGGCACTTGCTTTGAATACAGCACTGTGGTCGCTTCTCCTCCTTCTCCTTCTCCCGCTCTCCTCCCACCTCCCTTCTGTCTCCTACCTCCTCCTCCTCGCGGCACTCTGAGAAACTGTCGTCACTTCCGTGGGCTCCTGGGAGGTTCAGCGGAGGTACGTTTTACGTAGAGCACCACGAGACCTCGCCGCCACTTTCGTGGGCTTCTGGGAGGGCCAGCGGAGTGAAGTCTTCCGCGGATCACCACGAGACCTCGCCGCCCCCTGGGGGGAGCTGCGACCTGCGAAACCGTCGTCACTTGCGTGGGCTTTTGGGAGGGCCAGCGGAATGAATGTTTACGCTGATCACCGCGAGACCTCGCAGCCCTCCGAGGGACTGCGATCTGTGAAATTGTCGCCACGTTCGTAGGCTTCTGGGAGGGCCAGCGGAGTGACGTCTTACGCAGATCGCATCGCCACGAGACCTCGCCTTCACCAAGAGGAGGGGTGCGGTTTGCGAAACCGTCGCCACTATCGTGGGCGTCTGGGAGGGCCAGCGGAGTGGCGTCTTACGCACATCACCACGAGACCTTGCAAACCCTGGGGAACTGCGATCAGCGAAGCTGTCGCCACGTTCGTTGGCTTCTGGGAGGGCCAGCGGAGTGACGTTTTACGCGGACCACCACGAGACCTCGCCGCAGCCTGGGGGGGTGCGATCTGCGAAATTGTCGCCACGTTCGTGGGCTTCTGGGAGGGCCAGCGGAGTGGCGTCTTACGTGGATCTCCACGAGACCTCGCCGCAGCCTGGGGGGGTGCGATCTGCGAAACTGCCGCCACTTTCCTGGGCTTCTGGGAGGGCCAGCGGGGTGACGTCTGACGCGGATCACCACGAGACCTCGCCGCACCCTCGGGGGCGGCGGTTTGCAAAACTGTCGCCATTTTCGAGGGCGTCTGGGAGGGCCAGCGGAGTGAAGTCTTCTGCGGATCACCACGAGACCTCGCCGCAGCCTGGGAGGCTGCGATATGCGAAACAGCACTTTCGTAGGCTTTTGGGAGGGCCAGCGGAATGACGTTTTACGCCAATCACCATGAGACCTCGCCGCCCCCTGGGGGGCAGCGATCTGCGAAACAGTCGCCACGTTCGTGGGCTTCTGGGAGGGCCAGCGGACTGAAGTCTTAAGCGGATCCCCACGAGACCACGCTGCACCCTGGGAGGCTGCGGTTTGCGAAACTGTCGCCACTTTCCTGGGCTTCTGGGAGGGCCAGCGGAGTGACGTCTTACGTGGATCACCACGAAACCTCGCCGCCCCCCTGGGGGTGGCTGTGACCTGCGAAACTGTTACCACTTTCGTGGACTTTTGGAAGGGCCACCAGAGTGACGTCTTACGCGGATCACGACGAGACCTCGCCGCACCCCCGGGGGCGGCGGTCTGCAAAACTGTCACCACTTTCGTGGACTTCTGGGAGGGCCAGCGGAGTGGCGTCTTACGCGGATCACCACGAGACCTCGCCGCCCCCTGGGGGGCTGCGATCTGCGAAACAGCCGTCACTTTCGTGGGCATTTGGGAGGGCCAGCGGAGTGGCGTCTAACGTCTAACGAGGAGCACCACGAAGCATCGCAGCCCCCTGGGGAGCTGCGATCAGCGAAACAGTCGCCACGTTCGTGGGCTTCTGGGAGGGCCAGCGGAGCGACGTCTCACGCGGATCACCACGAGACCTCGCCGCCCCCCTGGGGGTGGCTGTGACCTGCGAAACTGTTACCACTTTCGTGGACTTTTGGAAGGGCCACCAGAGTGACGTCTTACGCGGCCCTGGGCGGTTGCGACCTGCGAAACTGTCGCCACTTTCCTGGACTTCTGGGAGGGCCAGCGGGGTGACGTCTTAAGCTAATCCGGGCGGCTGCGATCCGGAAGCTGTCGCCACTTTCGCGGGCTGCTGGGAGGGCCAGCGGAGTGACGTATTACGCGGATCACCACGAGACCTCGCCGCCCCCCGGAGGGGGGCTGCGACCTGCGAAACTGTCCCCACTTTCCTGGGCTTTTGGGAGGGCCAGAGGAATGAAGTCTTACGCGTATCACCACGAGACCTCGCCGCCCCCGGGGGGGGGCTGCGATTCGCGAAACTGTCGCCACTTTCCTGGGTTTCTGGGAGGGCCAGCCGAGACGCGTTACGCGGGTCACTTGACTGTTGCCGCCTGCCGTTTGTCGCTCGCAATGCACGCGGGCACGTACTACGATTAGCGCAAGGCGCTCTACTGTCATAGGTCGCAGAGCGCTGTCCTGAAATGCGAACGCAGCCCAAGGCGCTGCGGCTCCCACGAATTACGTTTCAAATCGCCCCGCCTCCACATGCTTCCGCGCCCCCTCGCGGTCGCTCGGCCGCCAACGACCTGACTCTTTAGAGCGACGCCGCACATGTGAAACATCCGACTCTGGCCCGACGTTCTTTGGCGAGGCGTTCGAAGGCATCGCGGGTCATTCGATGATTGTTTTGCATATAGCGATCCGACGCATACTCGCCACATGCATAAGTTGGTTGCGTACGTCCACGGGTTTTGTTTGAGGCTCTGGACTCAGGAGATTTTTTTGGCGCCAGCATTAATACCAGCCCCCCCCTCAAAAACGCATTTTCGGCGCGCCGCCCGGACCGCCCCCCGCGCATGACCAGCGCCTCGGGAAGTCTTCGAGACGTGGCCGCATTCGCAACAAACAAAAAAACCTCCACTGACCCCCCCCCCCCCCATCTCCCTCCTCCCCCGATTTGGCCACGCCAAGCGCCCCCAGCAGCTCGGCGCCCTGCCTCGCGCAGAACCCCCGCAGCTGCCTGAGCGACTCTCCGCTGACAGTCACAGCGAAGATGGAGATGAATCGCCACGCAGTGGCCTTGGCAAAATGCGGCCAGCCCCGTGGGCATCCAGCCCCAAGGACATCTTTGTTTGTTGCACATCCTGTTCATCCACCCGAAACCCTTCTCGAGCTCAACAGCAGCCAGAAGGCCGGCCTCGGGCGCAAGCGTCAGACGCCCACACAGGAGCTCGAAGAGAGTAGCGCTGGCAGGGGCGCACATGCCAGAGTGCCTGGCGAACTCGTAGACCGTCGAGCGCGGGAACTTCCAGAGCGCGGCGCGAGCGGCAATCTCCACGAACGGGGCGGGCCCCCCGACGAGAACAGCTCGAGCGGCAGGCTCGAGATCCTGGGAACGCGCGCGCCAGGTGGCGCAATGCCCGATCCAGCTCCTCCACTTGAACTCTGCGCACACCGCGCCGAGAAACTGCAAGTCCACGATGGGCTCGACGACGGGCCCGGAGACGCCGAGGACGTCGAACTCGACGCGCGTCTGCTTGAGCGGGCCCTCCGCGATGGATGCGCAGAGGACGGGCCGCAACGGCGCAGCTGAAGTCGGCCAGCGGTGCAGACCTACGTGCCAGTCACCGTCGGCACCATTGAACGAAATCGCTAACTGGTGACCAGAATCCGCGACGCAGCCATGCCACGCCATACTTGACAGGCATGGTTGGTCCATGGCAGCGACGCCCCACATGAAGAAGAGGTCCGCGCACGGGGTCGCCATCCTCTCAACGGAGGGGGAGTGCCATGAGGGGTGCTGCTTCGTGCTCGCAATCTCCTTGAAGTCCACGCTGGCGTTGGCCTGCTGCGGCCCCCACGCCGACATCGGCAGCGCGGCCCTCTTCGACGGCGCGGGCACGGTGGCCTCGACGTTCTCGCACTTGTGCCTGGCCGCGGGCAAATCAGCCTCCAAGACGGCTGCCATGGCGACCGCCGGCCGTCTGAACTCGCGCCCAATCGGCGCGGCCATGTTCGCCTGCGCCACGCTCATGTTCCCCAACAACAGCGCGGCTGCAATTGTCTCGCAGTGCGAACGAAGCATATCCTGGAAAGATGCGCCTGTGGCTGCTGAATCGCCCATCT